TTATTTTCTTTTGCATTTGTGGATACAACTGATTGGGTTTGATCATTTAACAAGAACATGTACTTATATTTAGTTGCCATTTTAGTAGTAAAAAAATTCAAATTTTGCTCAAAATCTAATGCAAATTCAAAAGCATGACCAAATGAGGGAACACCAAGAGGTTTAATTTCCCTTCTAATAATAAATTTTATTCAAGATTTCAACTTAAAAAAAAGGTTATTTTAGTATCTTCAATGATTTGGAAAATATAATAAAATTTTCTCAATCGTATTCATATCCAATGTTAGTTTTTGTCATTTGTTTTAAAGCATTTAATTCATCAAGCATTCAATCAAGATAGGATAATGGCAGGAGCTTTTCAACAAGCAAATCTTTTATTTTCAGCCAAACAAATTATACATTATCTAACCCAATAGTTTCCTAATTAGTTATTTTCCATAAACATCCAATACACTTTAATTTGCGCAGATGATTTCAACTTAATACATCTTCCCTAGCATTGAATTGACATTGTTCATCATTCAAAACAATTACCCATAGCCCAACCATAGAAAATTTTACAATATTATATCTCATCAAATGCAAACGCTTCAATTTTAGCTTATCATATATTATCTTTAAAATCATATGGTTGACATCTAAATGTATCATAAGTTTATTATCATACAACCTAAAACACTTATTTTGATTGATTTACTCTTGAGACCAATATTATGGTTAGAGTTAACTTCTTCATGCGGTGGAAACTGTGTAATTTCCAATGTTTCAATCTACTCTTACCTTGATTATATCCTCACTTATTTTGTTTTATTTCTATAACAATTTAGCCAAGTAATTTTTCAAAATATCATCTTTTAAATAACCATGATTTTGAGCCCAATCCCTGGTTGATATGTTCATACTATCTTAAGGTCAGATACCAAATTTGATGTCGAATGCCTATAAATTTATAGGGACATCCACCCAATTCCTCACACCTAAACTTTACTTTTTACATTTATACCACGCCAATCTTTCATATCAAATGAAAAATATCACCTTTTAAACTTTCAAAAAGTGAATAATACACTTTTTCACGCATAGGTTAGGCGGCATGTTGTCCAAATTAAAGTTTAGTTGTTAGCTATGTAAATACATATGACTTGAGTGGTACGCATGTAAATCTTTCAAACTTATAATAGGACGAACAAAATCATGCTCAAAGTTCAAATTTGAGGTTCACAAACACTTAACTTAGGCAATCTACAATTGTTTGCTCCCTTAAATGAAATACATAGTTACATAATATCCACAAAAATGATAATTTAACAGCTGACAATTATAAAACATTTAAAGATACATAAGAATTCAAAAGGTAGATTGAAACTCACATTACAATTGAAATTTAAATTGTGTTAAATTTGTAAATCATAAGTTACGCATACAAATCAATTATTAAAATTAATGAATACAAATATGTAAAGAAAAGAAATCACCGATTAATAAATCCTGAACATGAAGGAACCAAGAATAATACCAAGCTAAAAAGAATCATACCCAACGGTACTCAATCAATTTACCAATGTCAAATCAAAATAGAATTGCAAGGCCATATCATCTTTAAAATCATATCACAGGCATCATGCAATTTCCTTAAACATATGTTCGGTTTAATAATTTGATTCCGAACCGATAGAAAAGAGAGAAAATCAGCTTAATGTTTAGGCTTATTGTAAGAACATGTAAACTAATCCAGAATAAATATATGTGATTTGAGGCAATAATCATATATGGCAGATAGAGTAGCAAATGTAGCAAATATTGCACTGGGAAGATGGAAATAAAGGAGGTAAGAAATATTTCTGGAATGCGGGTAATATTGCAAAATGAGAATTTTCATACCAGCAGCCGTTTTCGCAGCCTGTCTTGATACCAATACCAAAATCCTGCAGAGCTCCTTCACATCCTCTGTGTGGACAATATCAGCCAGAAGTGGCCTAACAAAAGAAGATAAAGGTCAGCTAACATAAAACATAATAATAAAATCAAAAGAAGTTTGCCGTCGTTGAGAGAAACATTCCGCAAAATCATAAAACTAATACCTGTAGTTGATTTTTGAAGATCCTAATGAAGTTGATGACAAATTTGTCACATGACCTGTAGGAGTGGAAGCAAAAGAAGTAGGCCCTAAAGAACAGCAATACTTTGATTTTTACATTTATACCACTCAAACCATTCATATCACATAAAAATACCACTATACTACTAAAAAGAGGAAAACAACTTTTCATGCATAGGTAAGGTCACATATACGTAAAGATTTCAGATAGAAAATAAAACATTGAATTTGTTCAAACTAAAGCAGGCAAAACTTGCATTTTTTCCATGGAAACTCGGGAATTGACATGAAACAAACTGTTTTTTCAATTCTAAGATGAAATAAAATTCTATCTAAACAGTCTAAACTGCCAATTACAACTAGAGTAAGTGCCAAAATAGTCCCTTGACCATTTACATGGGGCAAATTTAGTCTCCGAGTTCATAAAAATGCCAAACTAATCCCCATGGAGGACTATTTCAGCCCCTATTAAAAAAGTATGAGGACTAAATTGGCATTTTTATAGATTTTAGGTTTAAAATGAAAATCTAAAGAGTTAGGGGACCATTTTGACACTTTTTCTCAATACTACAAATATTTTGAGAGGATCTGATCATCTTTGTAAAATATAGAGGGGAACAAAATGTTAGCTCGAATCGACAACAACGTATTTTGCTGATATTTTAAGTCTATTTATACCTGGGGACATTGTGCATTCATGTGAATAGATTGGTCCTTAGCCGATAATCCAAAGAAAAAATCTTGACTTTTTCTCTTCTTCGCTGCAGGCGAGGAATAGATGGAGGGACCTATAGCTCTATTCAAAGCAGCATTTGCAGCCTGCTGCATGTAAGTGATGGTATTCCCATGATCCCCATGGAAAAGGGCTCTCCTTTCTTCGCTTCCTTCGAAGTTCTTGCAGTCCATACACTTACAATTATCAGAGCAGAGAATGTTGGCTTGGAAACACTCACAGTATTTCTTGAGACATCCTGATTTCTTGCAATGGCAGCCCTTATTATGCTTCCCTGCTAATGCAAGTTCACAATCTTCCTGCCATAACAAAGAACGAGCAATCATAAATGACAAGAAAAACAAAAAAAATACGAAAAAAAAAAATGATTGAATGAGAGCAGTATGAGTTTTCAAGGTGACCATTTAAATGGGGCATTTACATACATACCACAAATTTTTAGTCATTTACATAGCTAACACCAAAACTTTACTTTTCTACATTAATAACAACCAAATATTTCATATCACATAAAAAATACCACAATTGTATCTTTTTAAAAGTGAAATGCACCTTTTCATGCATAGGGAAGGTGACAAGTATGTCAAATTAAAGTTTAGATGCTTGATATGCAAATACATAGAAATTAAGAAGCATGTATGCAATTCTTCCACCAAAAAACATGAAAAAAATTTGATTGACCGAGAGATGTATGATTCTTTAAGGTGACTATTTCAGTTGCATTTATATACATAACCCACAATTTTTATATATTTACATACCTTACACCTAAACTCTAATTTTTGCATTAATACCACTCAAATATTTCATATCACATAAAAATACCGCCATTTTAACTTTTTAAAAGTGAAATGCACCTTTTGATGTGTAGTTAGGGTGACATGCATGTAAAAATTACAGTTTAGGTGTTTGATATATAAACAAATAAGAATTAAGTGGCACGTATGTAATTCTTCCAACAACAAATACCCAAAAAAAAAAAAATGATTGCATGAGAGCCATAACTTTTAGACTATAATATATTATTTTTGGTGTGATGTGAAAATTTTGGGTGATGTAAGTGTAAAAATCAAAAGTTTAGGTGTTAGATATGTAAATCCATAAGAATTGGGTGGTATGTAAGTAAATGCCCCTTTATTACCTGCAATTATTAAATTAAGCTTCTATGAGGTAACATGAAATGGACAATTTAATGTCCGTTGGCAAGGGCATGACAATGGGCATAAAGATATAAAGCCTAATATGGACGAGCCAAATATTTGTTCACTTCAAAACATTGATTATGGAGACACAAATATAAGTTCTACTTCATTAAGAAGCTTAAAATAAAGCTTTTAACTTATATATTATCGAGCCAAATACGAGCTAAACCAAAAAACCAAGCCCGAATTGATAACCAAAAACAACACAAACTTTTCCTATTGATTTGTCCAATTTCATGAAAAGGGGCACAAAACATAAAACAAGTAATATTCATAACTTTTAGACTATAATATACAATTTCAAATAGAACAATAAATGTGCATAATTAATATATATAGGGTATGGTATCTTGATTTAATGAGGGTGATAAAGCCATCTACCCACCCCAAAAAATGGGAGATAATTCCATCCTTTTAAACCAATAGTAGGGTTTGAATACATGAAAGTCTTATTATTAATGTTTTATTGTTTAATAAGTGGATCCCTATGAGTTTCTACATGACTATTCACCCGAGGCTTTTCTTCCTTCCTTCTCTTGTTATTTATTGATTTTAAAGGTATCATAATTCTTTACTTCATTGCCCTTAAGCCCAACTATTATATAGTAGACGAGCCCTCTAAATAATGTCTTTCATTAGTGGGAATTCTCAAGATTAAAGAGTAATTCAAGCATCATAGGTTGTGAATCACTCTTCTTCCAAAGGAATGTTATTGTCGGTCAAACTACGATATGAGTGGGGATTGTCAATTTTATTTTGTCTTATTTTTTATATTTGATCCTTTAATGGTTTTAATGAAGGAATTTGGAAAATTTTATGTAGTGCTCATTAGACTATTTAAACATGTTTAATGGTTAACCCTAAACATCTTTTCATATTTTGAAAACTCTCACACACAATAAAAGCAAAATAATCCTTTAACATCACATCAAAAATACAATCATCAACCTTTTTCAATGTGAAATACATTTTCATGTATAGGTTTATGACACCAAAGTGTTATAACTGTAAATGTCAAATATTTGGTGTTAGATATGTAAATAAAAGAATTGTGTGGCATGTATGTAAATTTCCCTTCTTTGTCCCTTGCCTTTTTAAATCTTATCTTGTGACGGTAATTCTTTCTTGGTTCAGTACATCAACACAAATAATTAAGCATATAGGTGCTCATAAAATACAAAAGCAGTACACTTCTTAGAAACACGAGAAGTCAAAACTACGTTTACTCTAATTATCTGAATTGAAGGAGTAATAACCACACAACTGTGAACAAAAACAAATTTAAAAAAATATTCCAAATTTTAGAATAATTTACCATCAACTAATGTTATGAGCCACAAGAAAAAATTGCGTGAAAAGGTCGAAAACTTACCCTCACATCACGAATAGTTTGTGGACTATTGCCAATCTTAGGCCTGAAGGCATTGGGATTGCGTTCTAGAATTGCTTCAACTGCCTCATGTCTAGCAACTTCATTTTCAACATTGTTAAAACAATTTGCGCAATTGCACCCATCACAATGAACTCCAGATGCAAAACACTCACAATACCTATAATTGGATTGTTAAAATCAGATATAACTATACCAATAAAAAAATAAAAAAATAAAAAAAATATTAAATATTAAATTAGGCAATGATAGTATTGCTACATGCATTTTGTGTTAGAGAATAGTAAATCAAATCCAAACCTTGACATAAGATGTGTTATAAAGCTTGCATTTAAAATTTCTAAAAAGCATCCTATAATTTAAATATAAGCATGAATAAGAAAAGAAATTCATGCTGAGCCTCAATATCAATAGCTTTTAATCATTTTTTTATCAACCATTTCAAGTGCATGCTTATTTTATTAAAAAAGCAATGAGCAACACATTCATATATAATATTTTTCGTAGATTAATTTTACATGTAGTCAAAATGTATGGAAATGTTTTGTAAAAAGCATCTCAAAACACAAAATGTTTACATTTTGACAGATAACTGCCTTAAATCAAAAAATAATAAAATTAAACAAATCATTTTATGTCTAAAGAATGAAACCAATTTTGGAATTTATGTATCTCCTTCTTTCTCTAAGAATCTAAAAACATAAGCTCAAAATGATAAATAGTATTGTGCCAACCGGTGTTCGTATCAAAATGTAAAATTTTATCTCTGAATGGCACTAAAATAATTGTTTGTGTAAACCAAAATTTATGACTACCACATGGCCTATCCTTCTCTATGTAATGTACCAAATTAACTCTTCCAACTTCCACCCCACCGGAAATGGAGTTCAGTTCAAGACAAGTTCCACCCCACCGGAAATGGAGTTCAGTTCAAGACAAAAATCTACAGATTTCAACAGCTGAAACAAAAGCAGCACTTTGCCAAACATTACATAACAACGCAGTTCATAACATTATAAAAAAGATGCCCCTGAAAGAAGAAGGGAAATTTATATACATACCACACAATTCTTAAATGCTTATATATCTAGCGCCTAACTTTTTTATTTATATTTATAACACTTTGGTGTCATAAACCTATGCATGAAAAGGTGCATTTCACTTCTAAAAAGTAAGCACAATTTGTATTTTTTGATATGATATTAAAGATTTGAGCACTAAGCATGTAAATATGAAAGTTTAGGTACATATAGATAAGAATTGTGTGTTATGTATGCGAATGTCCAGAAGATGAAATATATTAAAGAGACAATAAAAAGAATAGTGAGAGACAATAACATTCTTTAATGTTGAACTCCTAGATTTGCTGCATATGAAACCTGATAGAGCATTGCTTACTGAATAGTACTTTAAGGCACTAAAATGGGGAAGTCCTTTGTTTTTACATATCTGACATCTAAACTTTGTTTTTTTTTTTTTGAAACATTTATATCATCAAATCTTTCATATCACATGAAAAATTAAAAAGTTAAATACAGATTTTTATGCATGGGTAAGGTGGCATGCATGTAAAAATTGAAGTTTTGGTGTTAGATATGCAAATACATAGGAATTGAGCGGTATATATATAAATCTTCCTAAGGATTAATACAGTCGATGGAGCTTACAGCTTTAAACATCGCGAGTGTTTGCAGTTGCAATTCTTCTTTCTTGTTGGCATGCCATCTTTCATCTCAAATAATGGCTTTGATCTTGTTTGTGGGGACTCTGGTTTTCTGAAAAATGTGAGAGGATTTATAACAGTTAGGCTCATGCAATTTCCAAAGCAAGAACAATGGAGCATAAATGGATCATCCGGAAGATGAATATTAACCTAGATTTAACAATGTGAATTAGAAACCAAATGCAAGTTTCATGAAGATACAAGAATCGATCTTGAAGAAGGTGAGAAACTGGATCAATCTCCATAAAATTGAAAAAAAAAAACCTCATTGGTGCTGTTGTTTTCCATGGAAAAACACAGCTGATCTAGGAACTCGTTGAAGTGAAAGATAACAACAAGAACTAAGAAGACCGCCGACATGTAAATTAGCAACAAAACTGCAGAATCAAATGTATCAACTAATTTCAGCGCCTAATAGCAATGAATCCACAGAAATTAGATCGACAGGCATAGATGAAGACTAATTCCTCGTCCGACTTATCCAAATTCAAAGCTTCTATTTGATCCGCATCGATTTTTCTTAACATATAACAAATGTGTAGTTTAGAGAATCACAAAAAAAAAATTCTAATCCCGATGAACAGTATCAGAAGGAGAAACAGGAATGAGCCCGGCTCCCACCTCTCCAGTGAAAAATTCAAATTTGAGGAGTCGGCCCAAAGTAGAAACAAAGGAAACAAAATTCTCTCCACAATTGATTCGTAAAATAGGAATTTGTCAAAATAAACAAAAAAAAAAAAAAAAAAAA